TAGTATTTTCAACCAACAACAAATCTCTTTAATAAATTTTAACAATGATTTTCATAGTTACATAGAAAAATAAACTTTAAATCTAATTCATATTTATCATGAAAAATATTACATTTACTTATATACTTTAAACTAATATTATCTCTTACCATTTATGCTTAGTTAAATTTGGAAGATTATTCATATTCATCTTTTAAATCTAAAGAAAAAACTTTCCAAATTACATTTGGAACATTAATTATATCGATTTCAGATAAATTTTAAAATAGAAATATATTTAATTTATTTTTTAAAATTATACGTAAATAATGTTATTGATAATGAGTTGGAAGTCCTTTTCGCATCCTATAATTGTCATAAAGCCTGCGTTGTGTATAAAATAGGTACCTTTCCGTTCTTTCCTCTTATATTAGATTAGATGCGTAAAAACATTGCCTTGTGATTATCTTCCCTCTGCTTCTGTACACACAAACATGGCTGCTCTCTCTAATGGCAACCAAGCTTCTTCCTTCAAAATTCCTCCCATCAAGTTCACCAAACTCTTCATCAATGGACAATTTGTTGATTCCCTTTCAGGTTCTTTACTTAAATCTCTTTCCTTTCACTTTTCTCTCTGCATTTCTTTCATCTGTGGAAAAGCTCAACCGAAAACCCTATAATGAAAAATGTTTACTGTTACTGGTTTGAGTAATGGAAAATGAAGTGAGAGAAGGCAAAAAGGCATAAATTAAGCGAAACACTGAACTTAGCTTATTGCAAGCAGATTTTAAAGTTATATATCTGCAAGTATTTTTATGAGTTTTCATACAAAATTCTCTGTTTTAATGTATTTCTCTCTGTTTTTTGCTGTGTTTCATGTGAAAACGGAAAGAAATACAGTATACAAATTCCAGAGATAGATGAGATGAAATGAAAACTCTTTGTGTTGACAAGAATTAATATATATTTTTTTTAATTTATAGAACGATTTATTTAATGGTTTGTGTAAAGAAATGAATAAACATAATTGACTTATATCAATTAAATAATAAGAAAAAATTATAAGAAGTATATACTTTATATATGATAAAAGAAAAACCAGAATCAAGGCATGTAGATATAAAAAAACTGATACTGAAAGTAAACCAGAATAAATCTGACTGATTTAATATTGTTTAACTAAAACTTCGAGTTAACTAATTGAATTAGTTTGAAATTGTACATCCTTGTTTGTGAGTGTGTTTTATCGAGTTTTATGTTAAATTGAAATTAATTTAAAAATTATAACAAATTTTCCATCTCTAATTAAATTTAATTTTCTGACTAAAATTCAAAAACATGTATCACAACAACTTCAATGGGTGAGAGAAATTGGAAGAATTTGATGAATGAAGATTCCAGAAAATATTTTTATTTTTATTTATAAAATTGAAAAAATAATTTCAGGAAAAGAGTTTGAGACAATAGACCCAAGGACAGGGGAATTGATTACGAAGATCGCAGAGGGAGGAAAAGAAGACATTGACGTTGCTGTGAAAGCGGCACGTGTCGCTTTCGACCATGGTCCATGGCCTCGTATGCCCGGTGTGGTATGTTATCATTTCTCTTCTTCTTCTTCGTTCTACAAGAAGTGCTACATTATCACCATAGATTTGTGGGTCTCATTTATTTTATCACGTGTGCTGTTTGATATAAGTAAAATATTTAATTTACATTCATAAAAAATATTACAAATTTCCAGTTTATCAATGTAAAAGTCATACAAAAAATATTTAGGTTTTTTTTATTACAAAAAAACCTAAATATTAAAGAATGTCGTCTAATCACTTGATTTAACAGCTTTGGGTGCATTCAAAATGTATTCGATGACCTTATAAATAAAATTTATATACATTAACCTGTTAACTAATAACTAATCATTGACTTTGTTTCATAATTAATTTTCTTGAACTGAGTTCATAGGGTTTGTTTGGCTGATTCTTGCGTGCCTTTAATGTTTTTGACTTTTTTTCTTCTGTGAACTTGTCCGATGCATTAAATATCAGTTTTTGTTTTTGATGTTCATGATCTCACCTTCTGTCACGGGCCATCTCATCTTATATCTTTGTTTGACATATATATAATTAAAGTTTATTACGATTTAACGTGACAATAACACGTCATAATCAGTAAAGTTTGTATAAATTCTGTAAAATTTTATTAATTAACAAGAAACACATTATACGTAAGCGCCTAATTAATTAGTACAAATAATTGACTTCTATTAATTAATTGTTTTGATCCATTTGGTGATAGGGGATGAAACAAAGGAAAAACAATGTAGCAATATTAAAACTATGCTCACTAATGTTAAAATTGAATAACAGGTAACATCTAAATAATTATGTATTTTTTAAGGAATTATTCAATCCTCGAAACATGAATCGATTGGGTTTTGGAATTGGATTCTTCTGAATATAATATAAGCTTTGTCTGTACTCGTGAGGTATTCGATTGGACCGATCGATCAAGTCATGTTTTGGTTTTCATATTTTAAATTTTATTTATTTATGTCTTTGTCGTTGAGTTTATTCAAATCATTGAAGTCTCTTCAAGAATTTAGATGCGTAAAAAAATAAAATAAAAAATCAAACATTGTTGATGTTAAGTCTGCATAATTTATCTAAGTATGTAAAGTTTGGCAGAAAGAGAGTAGAAGCATGTGGATTGAAACCGTCCACGACATCAACGTTGAACAAAGACAGTGTTTTTGAGTTCAAGAAACACGAGTCTCCAACGTGTAATGCTTTTTTTTGTTTGACTTCAAACAAATAGTGTAATACTTGTTAAAACACGACACATGATATTCTCTTTTGCAAGTTGATCAGCTCCACCGAGTTATGGGTGTTATCTTGTTAAAAGTAGCTAGCCAATATTGACAAAACTGTATACTGTCTAGATAAATGTTTACTGTAGAAGTGTTTGCCGATGAACTGTTTGTAAAAAGATATTAAGTTATATTCAAATAAGTTGGTAGCTTCTGTAATTAGTAACAAAGTTCTTCACCGGCATGGTTCTTTTACTTTCTGATAGCATTGACATGACATAAGTGTTCATCACTTTGAGATGGTTTTGAAATCAGGAAAGAGCCAGAATTATGATGAAATGGGCAGACTTAATTTTGCAAAACATAGACGAACTAGCAGCATTGGAGGCCATCGATGCTGGGAAGTTTTACCACTTTTGTAATGTTGCTGACATTCCTGCAGCAGCAGCTACAATACGTTATTATGCTGGTGCAGCAGATAAAATCCACGGGGAGGTCTTGAAAGCTTCCGGGGAGTTTCATGCATATACTTTACTAGAATCAATTGGTGTTGTGGGACACATTATTCCCTGGAACTTCCCTACCACCATGTTTTTTGCCAAGGTTAGTCCTTCCTTGGCTGCCGGTTGCACAATGATCCTCAAGCCTGCTGAACAAACACCTCTCACAGCCTTGTATTATGCTCATCTAGCTAAATTGGTATGCGTCTTTTACAAATGGCATTGACAAGTTGATCACTGAAGGTTGAGTTATTGATTTTCCTTACTTTTATGTTTTGAAGGCTGGAATTCCAGATGGAGTACTTAATGTAGTACCTGGATTTGGTCCAACTGCAGGAGCTGCAATAAGTTCACACATGGACATTGATATGGTAATTACTTAAATCTAAAATATGTGGACATTATGAGTCTCAGGTCAAGTAGAATAAAAAGGTTATAGTGTTATTGCTTTGGTTGACTGATGAGACTATAAATAGACTAAATTAAGGTGCAATATACAAAATACTAATAGGTGATCACGAATAATAATAACAGAGTAACATAGTTTAAGTACAGTAAAACCAATATGATTGGCTTGATTGTGATTTGTGATTTGTGCATGTGTAGGTAAGCTTCACAGGTTCAACAGAAGTGGGGCGTGAAATAATGCGTGCTGCAGCTAGTAGTAATTTGAAACCAGTTTCACTTGAATTAGGAGGCAAGTCACCCATCATAATTTTTGATGATGCTGATGTAAATAAAGCTGCCGAGCTTGCTCTCTTGGGCATCGTATTCAATAAGGTGGTTTTCCTTCATCAAACTTAATTCCTTTTACAAATATCAGTTTGAAAATATTCTAAACTTTTTTTTTACTGGGATTTCAGGGAGAAATCTGTGTTGCAGGTTCTCGCGTGCTCGTTCAAGAAGGAATTTATGATGAATTTGAGAAGAAATTGGTGGAGAAAGCAAAAGCCTGGGTGGTTGGTGATCCTTTTGATCCTAAAGCTCAACAAGGGCCTCAGGTTTATACCGAATATGTCTTCTAGTAACTCTGATCGTTGAAACAAAAATGAGAGTAATTGGCTAATTGTTTTCTTGTTGCAGGTTGACAAGAAGCAATTTGAAAAGATCCTTTCCTATATTGAGATTGGAAAGAAAGAAGGGGCCACCCTTTTGACAGGCGGCAAAAGAGTGGGAAACAAGGGTTACTACATTGAACCTACAATTTTCTCCAATGTTAAGGTGATTTTTAACTTCTCCCAAGTATGAAACGAGGTTGTTTTGGAATAAATAGATAACTAACCATCACAGTGTCTTTCTCATGATATCTTGTTTAGGAGGACATGCGTATAGTACAGGAGGAGATATTTGGTCCTGTGATGGCCTTGAGGAAGTTTAAGTAAGTCAATGTAGTTTTATTTACTTGTTACTATAAATGATTGAATGTATTCATAGTAGTGTCTATGAATTTATTCATGAATACTGAATTCAAAAGTAATACATGAATGAATAACAGGACTATTGAGGATGCAATTAAGATTGCCAACAGTACTAAGTATGGTCTAGCATCAGGCATTGTGACCAAGAGTTTGGACACAGCCAACACTGTGTCAAGGTCCATTCGTGCAGGCATTGTTTGGATCAATTGCTACTTTGCCTTCGGGAATGACATTCCTTACGGAGGGTACAAAATGAGTGGATTTGGAAGAGATTTTGGACTGGATGCCCTACACAAGTATCTACAAGTTAAATCTGTTGTAACTCCCATTTACAACTCTCCTTGGCTTTGAACATCTCCTTTCTGCTTTCAGTTTAAACAGTACAGTAGATTTAATATATGTACTCTATCAGAGTAATAAAATTGGGTCATGTTACTTTACATAATACATGCTTAAGTACGTTTAGTCTAAGTTTTACACATAGTTTGTGTGTTGATAAATTCAAAATTATGTGAAGTATGATTTTTATAATGATTTCTGTGAAAGTAAAACTTTCTTTATTCTATCTGTGCCTCACTTTCTTAAGTTGTCACTGAATGTATACACTGTTAAATTTGAAACAAACTATTATCTATGTATGGCTTTCTTTAGTACTAATGCACTTAGCCGATTTCATTTAGTTATAGTAAATTTTACTGTGAGATGAGTTCACTGATAAGGCTCTGTTGATGCTGTTGAAATTCCTGGATAAATTGGCACATAAAAAACAAAGAAAGTCACAAATTTTTCATTATTATTTCCCACAAATGCAAGCAGCTCCATCCTCTGACCTCAAATTCCTTCATCGTTATTCATCATGAAAGAAGAAAGATGGATTATTTATTTACATGTATGCTTATAAACTCTTATCATTAACTACATCCAACTACTTATTAGCCCTACCACGCCATACATACTCCCCGTGATGCAACCGGCACCGGAATGACCCCGGATGCTGCGACGTCGAGCACACGCATCGCTTCGCAGAACCACTCTCGCCGGAGCTGCCACCACCATCATGAGCCTGCCGTGCCACCGCCGACAAAAGCCATCTTCTACGCAGCATGAAGGCTTCTCTGTTGAGAAAAGGAAGTCCAGGGTGACACATTGATTCTTCTTTGTGCTTTCAACCGTTTTGTTAGCAGTGGCTACAACATATTATATATATTATGTGGCTCACTTTTGAAGTTTAGAGTTAAAAAAGAAAAGAATCTGAGAGGGGGAATTTGATTGTGGAAGAAGGAAAGAAAGGGGAAGGGAATTGGCATCGTAAGAAGATGGAAGTTTTGGATGTTCGTGTGCGACCAAATTCCATGTTGCGTTGGACAAAGATACCACTACATCAACTTACGTCGGAAACTATGTGGCATCTGTCTTTACTGCTTCCACGTGGCTCTATTTAGTGCCACTGACTCAGTAACAAATCCTGCGTGGCNCCTACCACGCCATACATACTCCCCGTGATGCAACCGGCACCGGAATGACCCCGGATGCTGCGACGTCGAGCACACGCATCGCTTCGCAGAACCACTCTCGCCGGAGCTGCCACCACCATCATGAGCCTGCCGTGCCACCGCCGACAAAAGCCATCTTCTACGCAGCATGAAGGCTTCTCTGTTGAGAAAAGGAAGTCCAGGGTGACACATTGATTCTTCTTTGTGCTTTCAACCGTTTTGTTAGCAGTGGCTACAACATATTATATATATTATGTGGCTCACTTTTGAAGTTTAGAGTTAAAAAAGAAAAGAATCTGAGAGGGGGAATTTGATTGTGGAAGAAGGAAAGAAAGGGGAAGGGAATTGGCATCGTAAGAAGATGGAAGTTTTGGATGTTCGTGTGCGACCAAATTCCATGTTGCGTTGGACAAAGATACCACTACATCAACTTACGTCGGAAACTATGTGGCATCTGTCTTTACTGCTTCCACGTGGCTCTATTTAGTGCCACTGACTCAGTAACAAATCCTGCGTGGCATCTGCCTCTTGTATGATATCTGATAAATTATTATACGATTTTTACAAGCTTTAATACCTATTTTTATAAGGTTTAATATTTTGCAAAAACGGTTTATTTTAGTTTTTTTCTTACGATATTAAAAAAGTTAATAATAGACTTGTTCCCTAACAAAAACATGATGAATTGTATTGTTATTATTGACGTGATAATGTGAGTTCATTTGTAATATTAATTACATTTAGAGTTAAAATGACGAGAAAAATCTAAAACACCTTTTAGGTCGCCGTGAGACACCATCAACACCATCTTCTTTCTTAAGATTTAGATACAACAAAATTTAAAAATTTTTCAATTTCTGAACTCTCAAATTGCATAACAGAGCAACCCAATCGAGCCGCTGCCATTAACCCTAGTTCGTGAGCGTCGCTGCCATGAACCCTAGCTTACGAGCGCTGCCGTGATAGAACTCCATTGGGAGAGTCAGAAAAATGACTTCAGAAATCCCTGCTCAACGCAAGAAGTCAAAAAATGATTCCTGCCTCAAGCCGCTCGGGGGAAGTCATAAAAATGACTTCAGAAATTTCCGCTCAATGCAGGAAGTCAGAAAAATGACTCCCGCTTCAAGCTGCTCGGGGAAGTCAGAAAAATGACTTCAGAAATTCCCACTCAACGTAGGAAGTCAAAAAAATGACTCCTGCTTCAAGCCGCTCGGGGGAAGTCAGAAAAATGGCTTCAGAAATCCCCGCTCAACGCAGGAAGTCAGAAAAATGACTCCTGCCTCAGGACCGCTCGGGGAAAGTCAAAAAAATGGCTTCAAAAATCCTCGCTCAACGTAGGAAGTCGAAAAAATGACTCCTTCCTCAAGCCGCTCGGCGGAAGTCAGAAAAAGAGCTTCAGAAATCCTTGCTCAACGCAGAAAGGTCAAAAAATGACTCATGCCTCAAGCCGCTCGGGGGAAGTCAGAAAAATGGCTTCAGAAATCCCCACTCAACGTACAGAAAAATGACTTCTGCCTCAAGTCGCTTGAGGGAGGTCTAAAAAATGGCTTCAGAATTCCCGTTCAACGTAGGAAGTCAGAAAAATAACTCCTGCCTCAAGCTACTCGGGGAAAGTCAGAAAAATGACTTCAGAAATCCCTCCTCAACGCAGGAAGTTCGAAAAAGAACTCTTATCAGTCAACTACTCAACAGGTTCAACTTTGTCCGGTTCCAATACCTTCTCATTATAAAAATAAATATTAAAGCTTTTACTTTGTTTAAAAGATATTATTTNTATATATTATGTGGCTCACTTTTGAAGTTTAGAGTTAAAAAAGAAAAGAATCTGAGAGGGGGAATATGATTGTGGAAGAAGGAAAGAAAGGGGAAGGGAATTGGCATCGTAAGAAGGTGGAAGTTTTAAGGATGTTCGTGTGCGACCAAATTCCATGTTGCGTTGGACAAAGATACCACTACATCAACTTACGTCGGAAACTATGTGGCATCTGTCTTTACTGCTTCCACGTGGCTCTATTTAGTGCCACTGACTCAGTAACAAATCCTGCGTGGCGTCTGCCTCTTCTATGATATCTAGATAAATTATTATACGATTTTTACAAGATTTAATACCTATTTTTATAATGTTTAATATTCTGAAAAAATGGTTTATGTTAGTTTTTTTTTACGAATATTAAAAAAGTTAATAATAGACTTGTTTTCTGACAAAAACATGATGACTTGTATTATTATTAGGATAATGATACTTTGACAACATTTTTTGACAACATTTTAACATCATCTACGTGTCATTCTGTCATTGGTCCAAAATTACTCCACAATCAATAATAATAATCATAAACACCAACATGGACCAATCAGAAAATGACACGTAGATGGTGTTAAAATATTGTCAAAAAAATGTTGTCAAAGTATCATTATCATTATTATTATTATTGACGTGATAATGTGAGGTCATTTGTAATATTAATTACATTTAGAGTTAAAATGACGTGAAAAATCTAAAACACTTTTTAGGTCGCCGTAAGGACATCATTAACACCATCTTCTTCCTTAAGATTTAGATACAACAAAATCCAGAAAAATTTCCAATTTCTGAACACTCAAATTGCATAACAGAGCAACCCAATCGAGTCGCTGCCATTAACCCTAGTTCGTGAGCGTCGCTGCCATGAACCCTAGCTTACGAGCGTTGTCGCGATAGAACTCCATCGGAAGAGTCAGAAAAATGACTTCAGAAATCTTCGCTCAATGCAAGAAGTCAGAAAAATGATTCCTGCCTCAAGCCGCTCGGGAGAAGTCAGAAAAATGACTTCAGAAATCCACGCTCAACGCAGGAAGTCAGAAAAATGACTCCCGCTTCAAGCTGCTCGGGGAAGTCAGAAAAATGGTTTCAGAAATCCCGGCTCAACGTGGGAAGTCAAAAAAATGACTCCTGCCTCAAGTAGCTCGGGGGAAGTCAAAAAAATGGCTTCAGAAATCCCCGCTCAACGCAGAAAGTCAGAAAAATGACTCCTGCCTCAGGACCGCTCGGAGAAAGTCAGAAAAATGGCTTTAGAAATCCCCGCTCAACGTAGGAAGTCAGAAAAATGACTCCTTCCTCAAGCCGCTCGGCGGAAGTCAGAAAAAGGGCTTCAGAAATCCCTGCTCAACGCAGAAACTTAGAAAAATGACTCATGCCTCAAGCCGCTCGGGGGAAGTCAGAAAAATGGCTTCAGAAATCCCCGCTCAACGTACAGAAAAATGACTTATGCCTCAAGTCGCTTGAGGGAGGTCTAAAAAATGGCTTCAGAATTCCCGCTCAATGTAGGAAGTCAGAAAAATGACTCTACCTTAAGCCGCTCGGGGAAAGTCAGAAAAATGGCTTCAGAAATCCCTCCTCAACGCAGGAAGTTCGAAAAAGAACTCTTATCAGTCAACTACTCAACAGTTTCAACTTTGTCAGGTTCCAATACCTTTCATTATAAAAATAAATATTAAACCATTTACTTTGTTTAAAAGATATTATTTGGAGTGAAAATCTATTGCAGAGAAAAAAGTTTCAAAGAAAACTCTTAGCATTTTCAGTTTAATGAACAGATCCAAAGAGAACTCCTACAGTTCGCCGCTTGGTACATAGAGTAATGAAAACTTAAAACATTAAAGATAAACTCCTTAAATACAACGTGAACGACCTCTTTTAAAGCTCATAATAACTTCCTAGCACCTCTTTTAATAAAGAGTTTGTTCGAACTTAGAGGAATTATGTACGGCATGAAGTATACCAATCAAAATTGATTGCATTAAATAGGTACTAATAAATTGTCTTAAACTCTACAAATATACGACATTAATGATTAATTATTTAATTTGATTACCTAAAATATATTACACTAATGATTAATCAATAAACGTAACTATCATAAACCTTATAAGTAGACAACTGATGTGTAAATACAAACATTTTTTTCTTTCTTAATAAAATATAAATCTCTTTATAAAAATGTTAACGAGATTATAAGAGTGTCTTCTGTAAATGAATAATCCATTACGTAAATGAATAATCATTAAAGTGATAGCATTCTCAGATAAGATTGAATATAAAAGAAAGCAGAACAAATAACGACATCCTCGGACCAATTCAATCCTGACAATCGTACATTTCATTTTTTTACACAAATGTTTCATTAGAGTGATCCTATTCCTCTAGTAATTCTTTCACTCCTTAAAATCTTTGAACTCTCGCAAAATAGCTTCATAAATCCCCGCTCAACGCAGGAAGTCAGAAAAATGACTCATGCTTCAAGCCACTTGGGGGAAAGTCAGAAAAATGACTTCAGAAATTCCCACTCAACGTAGGAAGTCAAGCCGTTCGAGAGGTCAGAAAAATGGCTTCAGAAATCCTCGCTCAATGTAGAAAGTCAGAAAAATGATTTCTGCCTCAAGCCGCTCGGCTGAAGTCAGAAAAATGACTTCAGAAATCCCCGCTCAACGCAGGAAATAAAAAAAATGACTCATGCCTCAAGCCGATTGGAGAAAGTCAGAAAAATGACTTCAGAAATCCCCACTTAACGTAGGAAGTCAGAAAAATGACTCATGCCTCCCGCCGATTGGAGAAAGTCAGAAAAATGACTTCAGAAATCTTCGCTCAACGCAGGACGTTAGAAAAATGACTTCTGTCTCAAGCCACTCGGGAGAGATCAGAAAAATAGCTTCAGAAATCTCCGGAGCGTAGGGAAGTCAAGAAAATGACTTCTGCCTCAAGTCGCTCGGGGGAAGTCAGAAAAATGGCTTCAGAAATCCCTACTCAACACAGGAAGTTCGAAAAAAAGCTCTTATCAGTCAACTACTCAATAGATTCAACTTTGTTAGGTTCCAATGCCTTTTCATTATAAAAACAAATATTGAAGCGTATAAAAGAACTCCTATAATTCGCTGTTTGATATATAAAGTAATGAAGACTTAAAGTATTGAAGATAGCCTTCCTAAATAAACAGGTATTAATAAAGATTGTTTTATGCTCTACAAATATACGACATTAATAATTAATTATTAGATTTGATTATCTAAAATATATTGCACTAATGGTTAATCAATGATCACGAGTCTTATAAATAAGACAACTGTATAGATACAATATTTTTTTTTTATCTTAACAAAATATAGATCATTTTATAAAAGATATGCGTTAGAGTGTCTATAGGTCAAGAATATATTGAAGTGCATCGCATTCTCAATAAACATTGAAAATCAAAAGAGAAAGAAAGAGGACCGACGGACCAATTCAACCGTGACAATTATACATTTCATTTTTTTACACAAATGTTTCATTTAGAGTGATCCTATTCCTCTAGTAATTCTTTCACTCCTTAAAATCTTTGAACTCTCACAAAATTCCAATCATGCATATGTTCAAAGAAACGCATAAACAAATCCTGAATATAGATGATGGTGATGGATACCACGGAGAGTTAAAATCTCACTTTCCGATTTTTCCCCTGAGTTTGACACCGAGAACCCTCTCCATCTTGGCCAGCACGGCCTGGTTAGGCACTGCCTTGCCGTTTTCGTACTCCTGCACCACCTGCGTTCGCTCGTTGATCTGCTTCGCCAGCTCCGCCTGGCTCATCCTCTTCTCCAAACGCGCCTTCTGGATCGCGTGCCGGACCTCCCCCGCCACGCGCTCCAACGCTGCTGGCTCCGTCCCCTCCTCCAGCTTCCTCGGGTTCACAGCCGGACCGCCGGCCTTCCGGTTCGAACCGGCGTCGAACTTCTTGACAGTAAGCACCTCCGCGCCGGATCGGAGCGCCTGGTTCACGGCCTTGGGGTTGCGGAGGTCCTGCGCCTTGGGCTTGGCCTTGTGCAGAACGATGGGGTCCCAGTCTTGGGTTATGACTCCCATTGATCGACTCGGCATCGTGCAAGAAACCTGATTCCTGTAATTGATTACTTACTAGTTGAAGAAATGAAGGGCGAGTTATGAAAACAGGGAAGAGTAATGAGAGTTTTATAAGGGTGGCGAAATGAGTCTCTGGAACGTTCCATTATCGTTTGCATGTTCGTGATGGTAGCGTAAATGGAATTTGACCTTCTGCACTTATCTCGAAAGTTCGACGGATATGGACGAATGTATTTAATTTAGTATTTAGTATAAAAAATACAACTCATTACCTCCTTTTATTTTCGTGGTGGATTTTAATACGGTAAATCCTATTGGAGGAAAAAATATATTTACAAGATTTAGTAATTAAAGAACTATTGAGTAGTTTTTCATGCAAATAAAAACAATAAACACTTTTAGTTTTGGATAAAACTTAACTGTCTAAACTGCAATTTTCCAAAATTTGAATGTTATCGTTAAATTTAAGGATGGAACAAATCGTTCACCTATAAAAGATATTTTGATATCAAGATTGGTTTAATGTTGATGATTAATAATTAATAGCATAAGAAATTATTTATCTATTTATTTTAAATTTTTATTTATAAGTTTTAGATTGAATTTTTAATTAATATTAACTTAATTATATATTATCATACTATATTTTTAAGTTGATAAACATTAATATTAATGTGTTTTTGATTTATAATGGACTTATTTGTTTGGTAATTGACCAAGTTTAATAATTTAATATGTTATTTACTAGACCATGATACTGTGATATACTTTTATTTTAAATATGCTTTTATATGATTTTTAATAAGCAAAAATTGGAGTGTTTCTTTTTCACCACCTCACATATCTTCATGTATCTACATTATAAAAATAATTTTCTTTAACATATTTTAAAATTTATTAAAATTATTGAAAAGTTCATATCAAAATTGGTTAAAGTTTTTTCAAAACTTCAACAAATTTTTCAAAATTTATTAAAAGATTTTTTCTTCATCAAATTTTATAATTTGTTGAAAAAGAGAAATGAGATGTAGAATTTTTTAAAATGTAAGGAATAGTTTTAAAATTTAAAAAAACATGAGAATGCATGAAAAAAATGTGAGAAGGTACACGAAGAAACACTTCAAAAACTGTCCAACCCAGTATGTATAGGTTTTGATCCATCTAACAACAGGTCGGTCCATTAAAAAACGGGCTAAAAGATTAATCCATCCTCGCAACAATAACAAAACAAATTATATTACTTTTTAATACATTAAAATCTTTAAAACATTACAAAGTAAAAGACTTCAATATAAATTTTTAATGTGGTTTTTTCTAAACATAAGTATATTATAATTAAAAACTCTTGTTGAATATTTTTATCATATAGTTGTATTTTAATTTGATGAT